GTAAGTGCTACTCATCCAGCACAATGCCACATTATTTAATTTTGTAACACATTCATACGACTGCCTGACAACAGCCACGGACGGGAACACTACCTGTGGGCTCAGGTCAAGGCGAGGCAGTTTAACGTTAAAACAAAGGAGCTAATTGGATTCCTGCTCAAGTTCCAGCTTTTTATGGGATCACAGTTACTTTTCGTCTCTCTGCCTCGGTCAGCTCGCCTGGAAAGGAGGACCAAGGTGTGACTGCTGGCTGAAGGAAAAACGCAGTGCATATGCCTGGATTATTTGGCCATTCTTCCTAATTTCTCTCTCACCCCTTTTTTTTATTATTTTAATTGCCATTCAGCTCTGGTTTGTGAATTCCATCCCGTTTCCCTCAGAGAGCAGAAATGCAGCTCACCTTGTGGAACAGGAAGGACTGTATTAAAAAGGAGAAGCCACCTTCAGCTGTAAAAATTACATGTCTTGCTAATGCCAAAATTAATAAGACAGAGATATTTGGGGCTTACACTTGCACTTACAACTAGCACTGCACAGAATATTTTACAAATAAGACTACATCCCATACACTAAACTTTACAGAGACAAACAAGTGCCATCCCCTTTCCCCAGAAGAAGTATAAACACAGAGCAGAAAAATGAGCAGCACAAGGAGACTGAAGAAATTCAAGGCTGAAAAAAACAAAACCCCAGAATTTTTGCCTCCTTGTTTCTAAACTCATAAAAAAGACTTTGTCTTACAAAAAAAAAAAAAAAAGGGATTAAATAATTTAATTAAAGACATAACCTTGTTTTATATTAAATTGCCTGCAAAGCTCTCTTCTGTTTGCAGAGGAGCTGAGAGTCACCCTCTGCAACGGCTGTTGTATAGTGTGACTTTCAAAATAATATCCTTGCAGTGCACAAAAGGAGAGAGCAAAAGATATATGTCCTCTGGCTCAACGTGGATGGGTGTCTCCAAGGAGCTCAGACAGATGATCAGACCACAGACTGTCAAAGGCACAGAGCGGGGATGGCAGGAGGGAGAACAGTCCCAGCTCAAGATTAGAACAGGCTCAACTGCCACCAAAGTTCCAGGAGGAAGCACCTCCTTGCACCACCCCCAGGAAACCCGAGTTCTGAGCTGCAGCCTTTCCCTTTGCAAGTCCTCCCTCCCCTTCCCTAATCCCCTCGCACACAGGGCTGCCCACGATTCCCTGAGCAGCAAATGCCTTAGTTTTGTTTTTGGGCAGGACCACTGCAGGGTTCATCCCTGTGTGCACAAAGTGATAAACAGGCAGATCCAGTCCCTGCAGGCTGAACTCCAGTTCCCTCTGCAGATGTATTTTTGTTATAAGCTGAGGCTCGCTGTTGTGCCGTGTAAAAAAAAAATGTAGTTACTCAAAGAAGTGGTTTTAAGTTCAGAGATAATGTCATGTTCATTTGGAATATAAGCATGAGCAGCACACTCACAGATACACTCTCTGTCCCCCTACATCCCTATCTCAGCTGTAGGCAGGGTGGTAATATATAAAGAGAGAGCAGGTGGGATTTTTTTTTAGGTGGGGAAGAAAAAGGCTTATGGCTCAGAAGCTGAGTTCACTGCCTATCCCACATTTTGGAAAGGACACAAAAATGCCTCATGAATTGAGCAGGCATGCTGCAAAATAAAAAGAAACAATAGTATGCAGAGAAATGCAGGAAATCCGCTGATTAAAATGCAGGATTTTATTTCAATAGAGTTTGGGCAGAGTCTCCATTTCTTCTGTCACCAGTGTGAAGGGGCCACTGGACTTACATGTGCAAAAGCCATTTATCCACTTACATTTGGTGTCTTGCAAGGTCTGAGCCCTGAAGGAGCTCAGAAATAAGGAGCTTTCAGGTTGGCACCTACCTAAATAGCCCTGCTCGCTCTATGTAAATGGCCTCGGTGCCACGGAGATTTTACTGAAGGCATTTCTCTGTGCTGGTAACCGACACCATTCCCAGGAGCAGGGCTTGGACTCTCATCTCCCTGTGCACTCAGAGGAGAGGGATAAGCCCCCTAAGTGGGATGAGAGAGCGGCTGGAGGACTAAAGGGATGATTCAACACACACTTTCTGTGAGCAGGCAGCCCCAGTCAGGACTTCAGCCTCAGAGTCCATTCCCCGCCTACTGTGTTTTAATAAAAATGCTGGGGAAAAACCAGTTTGCACGTCATCTCCTGCACATCAGCACTGCCAGACAATTAATCAGGGATTCCTGTGCCACGTCATAAATCACGGCACCTCCTGTCAGTGACACTTGAAACACAGTGTGTGAGAATCTGTCTACAGAGATACCCTTTAACTCGGGCAGAACCCCTTGGGGTGTGTTTGTGACCACCATTCCTGGCAGCTCACAGGGTCTGATCCTGATCCCACTGCTTTGGCCATGGATACTACAGAGACGTTTTGCTGTGATAAATGGTTACATATAAGACATCAAAATGGAGCCTTCAGCTGACTTTTTACAATAACACAGGACAATGTTCTCCCCACTACTTATTCTATTATCACCAACTAACTGGAAGACCTGGAGAAGTCCCTCCCTGTCATCAGCTGTCTCCAAAATGAGTGAGGGCTGCAGCACACCAAATTCTTCCCCACAACCTCTCTCTCCAGCAGGAACTGAAGTCCAGGCTGTAACTCCCCCATGAGATGCGCAGTGGTGAAATCTCCCCAAATTAAACAATTATGTTTAGAAACACAAACACACACAGAGACCTCCCACTAACTCAGCAGATTCTTTTGAAAGTTGGCACTGTCAAAACAAACACAGTCGCCTGTAGCACCCTTCCACTGCTCCTGCTGACAGCGCTAGTGAGGAGGAGGAGGTGCTGAGCACTTTGTTATTATGAGGAGGAGGATAGTGTTGGGAAAGGTGTTGAGTTTGACACGCAAGTATCAAGAGCAGGAAAGCGAAAGTCAAGGAAATCAGCCTTGTGCCACCTAAAATTGCTCTGGCACTAAACCTACAAAAAAAAAAAAAAAATCAATGACTCTGCTTTCACAGGAGTTTTCACATCAACCTGAGGGAGCGTAAAGCCCGAGCTGCACCAGATGGAAAGGCACTGGAAGTAGGGAGTGAGACAGGAGCAATGCTGGTATCTATCAGCCACATCAAACACAGAATTCACAAACAGTAATTAGGGCTATTCACTCATCTCTCCCTGCTTTTTACTTCTTCTGTACCAGCCAGGAGGGAAAGACAGCGCAGAGAGAAAACCAAAGTGTTATAAACATATCTGCAGGTAGTAAAAGGGTTGTTTATACTCTTAGGTACTTCTGCCTGTTATTTGAGTAAAAAATTTAGTAATACAGCGATCTGAATTTTAGGTGTGAAGTTATTTTTCCTTGGTTCCACCTTTTCAAACTCATTTAATCACAGCAGCTTGTCTTCCTTTGCCCTCCCTCACAAAAACACCCCTCCCCACGCCGCATTTAAAACCTTCTCACAAAGAAAACCGAAGGAAAATAATTTTTGTGCAACTTATCCATCTTTCAAAGCAGCTTCTGGCAGAAGGGAGCCGAGAGTGATGAGTCCATAGAATAATAAATAATAACAATATTGAGCAGTTTTGCACAGCAAATGTACATTGAAAAACTTTTCCTCTTGAGTGCCTGACATTATTAATTTGTTCTCCAAACACACCAGTGAGGGGAGTCAGCCCATTTTTACAGACAGGGAAAGTGAGCATATAGATTTCAATAATTGTTTAAGACACAGAGGAGTCAGCTCCAGAACCTGGGCAAACAGCTCACAGGAGATCACAGCCCATATCCATGGCAACATTTGGGCAGAGCCCTGCCACCACAGTAATTGCTACCGGCAAGTGACACATGCTTGGGGTTTTTGACACCCGTGAATAATATCCTCCCTGAACTGCCCTTCCCTGTGCTCCTCCAGGAGGACGTCCCAGGCTGTAAGGAGCAGCAAAGGCTGCACAGAAGTTCCTGTAATTATTGATGGCACAAGTATTTCTAACCCCTTCCCAGCTTCTGCCTAAAAGGGTTCAAACTCACACTAATCTACTGCTGAAGTCACATGTGACATCCCAACAACCCATTCTGAGTTGCACAGACGCTCACCTGGGACATCCTTTCCCAGCAGTCCTGTGGAACAGCAGCGTTTTTATTTTGCACCACAAGGGCTGTGTTTTCAGCCCCATTACTGCACAGCAGAGCTTTCAGATGAATTGAGGGGAGGGGGAGAAGACCTGAGCTGACTTGCTGTATCCACATGAAATGGGTTGTGGATGACCTTGTGTCCAACCTTCTAACATCTAAGACAAAAGCATGGAAAAGCTGAACAGAGGAAAGCAGGAAAGCTCACTAAACAGGGGGATTATGGTGGGGGGTGGGGTGGTGTTTCGTTTGTTTGCATATAGAGGTACAAATTGAGGTTGAGAAGAAGATAAATTAGTTTTTAAGCATTTTCCTGTTTTACAATACTTGTAGTCGAGTCACAAAAGTAACAAGAATTTCCAGGACCAACACAACACCAAAACCAGGTCAAAATCTCGCTTGCTGTAGTCACACTAACGAGGGCTCAAAAATAAATGGATGTGGGGATTCCTGTGTGGACAAACATCACTGCCCCAGGTTCCCCTGATAATGCCTTGGTGATGAAAACCCACCTTCATCCTCCCTTCTGCTCATGAGCCAGATTATGATGCCAAGTGAGGCAGGCAGAGGGACAGCTCTCGTGTGTCACCCATGCCCTGCTTGCCCTGGGCAGTGCCTGGCACTGGCACACCACTATGATATGCACATGCTGATGCACCAGGGCTGCTGCTTTTGCTTTTTAGAGCTATTGATTTCCTGCCCTTTCTTGTAAAGCATTCCGTGAACTGGAAGCAGTTAAAGGTTAACGGCAAAGATTTCATTAAAAGGAATATTTTAGAATTGTTTAAAGATTCTAAATCATTAGCAGTTAAACGCCTACACCCAAGAACTGCTCTGAAATTCGTGTCTTTAGGCAATGAAGTTCCAAGAGTTACCTGTCAATAGGAGCACTCCTGACTCTGCTCGCTCTGCTCCAGCTCGGCACCCGCAGGCGGCTCCCAGATCCCGGCAGCAGTGCTGGCTGTCACCAGGAATCCTCCACTTGGGATCTCACTAGGAGGAAGAGGAAGAAGAAATGGGTTTTATCAGTTGGAAGAGCCTTAAAGTAATCCAGGTTTGGCATTTTGGCGAAAATGAAAAGTCCGAAGGAGATGCTGGGAGAAGGGGAGAAGAGGCCTCTACCGGCATGGCCACCCCTGGCATCTGTGTGACCCAGCAAGGGCAGGGAGATGAGAGTCCAACCCTGCTGCACACACAACACCCCAGTCCATGCCAGCAATTCCTGGGGGGCTGTCTGGGGGACAGAGCTGCTGAGGAGCAAAATCAGACATTAAAGGGACAGTATGCACCAAACACTCCTGCTAGAGGGGAGGAGAAGTGAGGAAAAGTTCGCCTCTGGTGAGACCCCCACCTGCAGAGCTGCCTCCAGCTCTGGGGTCCCCAGCACAGGAGGGACATGTTGGAGCAAGTACAGAGGAGGCACCAAGATGATCAGAGGGATGGAGCAGCTCTGCTCGGAGGAAAGGCTGAGAGACTTGGGATTGTTCAGCTTGGGGAAGTGAAGGCTTTGGGGTTCAATAATTGCAGCCTCCTTCCAGTACCTTAAGGGAGTCACTAGGAAGGATGGAGAGAGATTATTTACAATGGTCTCCAGTGACAGGACAAGGGGAAAGGGTTTAAACTGAAAAGACAGAAGTTTAGATTAGACATTAGGAAAAGATTCTTTACTGTGAGGGTAGGGAGGCACTGGAAAAGATTGCCCAGGGAATTTATGGCTGCCCCATCCCTGGAAGTGTTCAAGGCCAAGCTGGACAGGGCTTGGAGCTACCAGGTCTAGTGGAAGGTGTTCCTGTCTACAGCAGGGGGATTGGAATGAGATGATCTTCAAGGTTCCCTTCCAGCCCAAACCATTCAGTGATTCTCTGGAAAGGGCTGCTGCCCAAAATGCAGCGCACACCCACGTGTGTGCGTGGAGGGGGTTTTACACACACCTTGCTTACACAATGTACATTATAAACTGACATTTCTGTTACCCTCAGCGCGTTTCCCCATTTATGCTGCTTCTTTTTCGGAGTGGTATTTCCTTTGCTTTATGCACAACAAACTTAGGCCCAGGACAAAGGGAAAAGTTCTCTGCCTGAGAGCACCAAGGGGAGCAGTTTTGCTCTCCTGGGGACCCGTGCATGTTAATTTTAGAAGGGCCCTCCTGACGTCTGAAACCAGCATCCAACTGCTGCTGACAGCACCTGGCACGGGGGCTACATCCTGCGCATCCTCTGGCAGCCTTTCTGGAAGCGGCTACAGCACAGCTACAGTACAGATGGTCCTTCATTTGGGGGTGTTTGGATCCAGACCCTTCATTTGGGTCTGTCTGAAGGGAAAAACTGCCTTCAGTACATGCCAGTATTTTGGGTTTAAAGCTACACGGACGTGGCTCAACTTATTTCCCTTCTCTCCCCCAGCACCAGTTCCACCTCATTCAGGCAGTGCAAAGGCTTCGCCTACTGGAGCTAAAAAATCCTCTGCTTCTTTCAGGTGGACATCACCACCCAAAACTCAACGGTGGGGACATCCAGGCTGCAAGGGCAGGACACCCCAGCAGCCTTGGGGGGGCCAGAGTTCCCTTGGGAATGCTGAGGTGAAATGCTGCTCTGTGCTGGGGTGTATCAGAAATGAGTGGCACGGTATTTAAAACACACCCAGCGGGATCTATCCCCCACAGAGGGTTCAGCCACAATAGCTTCATTCAGTCTTCTGAGTCATTAGAGTATTTCCTGCATTATTTTTTAAAGATTTGCTCTACCTCCTAAAGAATTGCTTCTCAATGCAAAAGCAGAATGATGAATACACACATCTTCCCTTTCCCTGCTGAATACAACTTTGAAAAACATAATGCTTCTCATCTGATTTCCTCCCCGAGTCAAAATAAGCCAACCAAATCCTGCACTGCACCTATCAATACAAACAAAAGATTCAGAAGTAAACACAGTTTAGGGAATGATTTTCCTTTCATGACAGCTTAAGGTCCTTCAAACTTGACAGAATTGATTACTGAATCAAAGCAAAGGAAAGCAGGGAATGGAGTTTTCTTGCATACACCTGTAATGCTGCACACTCAGGGAAGGAAGCCAAAGGCTCGAGCTACTGGTAAGGAAAACCCAGAGAGGGAATAAGAAGAAGGGATATCTTGGGATTAGCTTTAGCATAACATCCCACAGTATGTTTACTTTGCTCCTCCATCTCATATTTCTTCCTGGGCTCGGTCCCCAGCCCTGCAGACCCTCCCAGGAGTACAATGCCCCTTTCGTGCATTGCACGAGTGGCACCGAGAGCACGGCGGCTTCAAAACATAAAAGGGAAAAAAAAAGTCTCCCTCAACGCCATCATCATTTTTAAAAAAGGCAATTGATGTCGCCTGAAGCAGCAGCTATGAAGCCCAATTATACCACATTTCATTCAAGTGTCAAAAATTGGAATAATAATAACCAACAACGAGGAGCACATATAGGAAATGATGCTGCCATCTTCTTTTGTTTTGGCCCTGTTGTTTTCATAAATCCAGGCTCTGAGCAGCCCCAGTGCCACATTCCTTCAAGGACTTTCTTGTTCGCTATTGTTTCCAGTTCTTAACAATTGGCTTCCCCGACTACTTTCCTCGTGTTGACAGTCGCTCACAGAGCCTCCATATGCTCCCACTACTTGGGTAGTCAATCATTTGTGAATTAGCTACCCAATCAAAGATCTACAAGAGGGCTGGTAGTGTTTATTCAGGGCTGGTGTTTTGAGTGAGTGTGTTGCTTGCGAAAGGTGTCAGATTAAACACGCAGAAATGAATTGACTCCCAGAACACGGGTTGCGTAGTCGGGAGCGGAGACGTGAGCGCTGGCCCGAGTTCACTCTGGTTTTCCGTGGGGCTTTTTCCCCTTTGTTTCGTTTGTGGTTTAAACCCTACCGGAGGTAAGATGTCCCTGGACTCGGGAAGACTTCAACCACCTGCTTACTTGAAATGGAATATTTGGAAGGAGGCTGGAATCTTGGCTGGAAGCAAGAGAGCGGCTCCAGGGGCTGCCTCAGCGTGGAGGACAGAGAGGTTAAAGCAATCAGAGACATCCTGATGGCATGTTTTTCTCCTCTTAGATCATGGAGGTGCACAGTGCAGCCCTGAGAAACGCATTCCCCTTTGCATCAGCAATATTCCTGCACTCCCAGCTGCATGGATGGAGCCTTCATAACCCCCAAGAAGCACTTGTGCCTGATGCTAGGTATGATCTCAGACAAAAGCTGCCCTTCTTTTAAGATCTGCCTCAAAACACCAACACAATACTTTCCTTAGCTGTCATTTTGGGGGAATTCAAAGGCATTTTAACACTGGCCAACACAGCCTAAACCAGGCAATGCCAGTTTGCAGAAGAGCCAGCATTCAGGGTTGTTCCAAATCAGGATTATCACTTCCCATCAGAGACACTGCCTAATTCAGAGCTGGACACAAACCTTCCCAGGATTTAAACACACAGCTCAGGTGAACTTGCCTCCTTTTATAAGAAAAGGGAAAAAAAACCAGTTGAGGTAACGAGGCTGTGTTTGGAGGCCCCACTTTACAGCCCAGGTTTATGCTGAAAGATGACTAACATAAATATCCACAGGGGTTCCATACTGTCACCTTCACCTGACTTTAGAGATCACCAGTAACCTATTTATAAGCAAAAAAAAAAAAAAAAAAAAAATTTTAACTGCCAGTCCAAAGAAAATGTCACCGGTGATGAGAGAATCAAGCTGATTTCTTTTCTTCTCATGAATCATTGTCACAATAAAGGGTCTGCGTGACAACTCTGCCCTCAGCAATCACTGAAAAACCCAGTTCCTTTGAAATTAGGAGTTGGCTGGTCCTTATATTGATAGTACTCGGTGACGATGACAATGATGCACAGGGAGAAACGTAACTTAGCTGCTTGTCACGGTTCTCACTTCAGCTGACTTCCAGCAGCACTTTACTATTCCGTATTAATAGAAATTAAAATATTAAACACTTACTCATTAAGGTATGCAGATCTGATTCACAGGGAACTGGTAAGGAAACGCTATTTTTAAGTGGAGATATTACAGCGAAGAATATTTCAAGTTAGAGCCTCCCAGAAGAAACAAGAAGGTACTTGTTTATTCAGCGTCAGTTGGAATAACAAAAATTCCTTCTACTGGTAACAGGACATCAATACACATTAAGCCAATGGCGATTTTCCTGAAGTTTTTCTGCCTTCAGAATTCATGAAAGAAATTTAAAACACTCAAGGCAAATGTCAGTGCTAGGGACAGTAATGTAAAGAATCAAAGTGGAACTACCTGGAACGTACATTAAATAAAAGGCAGGGAATGAGCACCGAGTGAATTTTTATGTGTTCACATTACAACAAACTAGTCAAAGATTCTGACCCCTGGCACCACAGAAATCTTCCTGGTTTTGATATTTTCAATAAAATAATTCCCAAGAGGGCTGGGGGAAAAAAAAAAGCAACACTCTTTCTCTCCCTTTCTTTCAATAAAATGAGACCTCATCTGTATTACGAGGAAGAATACTAATAATTTGACAGTGTGCTGAGGTAGCTTGTGTAAAGCTTTGGCTTGGGATTTAATATTGCCCGGGAAGTCCAGCAGATTTCCATGGCTTTGCTGGGGAAAAGTGAGCAGCACTGAGCGTCAGCTCCTCGTGCAGCCCACAACTTGTACCTCGGCAAAGGGAAGGAGGAGGGGACGTGCTCCGATCCTGGACAGCCAACCCAGGGGGGAGAATCCGGAGAGGAGCTGATCCCGATAACGCAGAACGGGCGGGTCCCATCTGTACACAAGCAACGGCCTGATAAGTATGAAATGTGCTCCCCACGCTGAGATGACTTTGGGACAGCTCTGCTTGGAGGGTCCCGCGTCCCTCTGAGCTGAGGGTACACAAATATTTGAGCGCAGCGCGAGATCGGGAGATGAGGAAAGGCAGGAGGGGTGGCAGCGGTGGGTAATAACGGAGAGGTGCACGCCGTCACAACAATTAATGTCACTCTGCAAGG